AGGACACACAGTGGAAGCGATGTTGGCTCCACTTCAGTGAAAACTGCCCCCAGCATGATAAATCTCTCCACAGTGGTCACTGCTGTTCCTTTGTTTCACACATGCATAAGTATCTGCTTATGTGTGTGGCACTGTATACCCCCCCCCCACACTTCACCTGCACAGGGTGGTGGATTGCCACTAAGTAACATCAGTTACAGCCACAAAGCCCAACATAGACTCAGATGGCGAGGAGTGGCCTGCGGGAAGAACAGACCTAACACAAAGTAGGAAAACCAACACAGCTGTAATAAACAGAGGCCGCACCAGGTGGGTTTATCTAAACAGTAAATGAGAGTTCTATTTCCACTGGGCTGTGCTGACCTTTTTTTTTATGTGAATGTGTTATTCTGAACAGCAGACAATCCCCACAGATATAAAATAGCTTATTTCACTGGGAGTACGTTTTGCTGATCTGAAGTTGAGATTCAGGTCATTATAGTACATTATCATTGCCCTATCCTTCATGTAACTGAATATACAAGGTATAATATGTAACTTCCTGCATTAAAATGTCAAAAACAATGTTTTAACCGGATGAAGGATTTAAGTAATGGAAAAACTAGCTACCACAAGCCAAGCAGCTTTAGCTAACGTTAGCAGAACATCATTGGTGAAACAAAGTTTTAAACGCAAAACTGCTCTGCTTAGTTGCTTTTTTTCACCACTTTTAATGACTGGGTCTGTTTCTGTAGAGAGGAGGAGACCTCTGTGAATAATTCGGCTCCTGGTAAAAACGTCCTGGATCCCGGATTTTGGAGTTATAATAAACAAGCTAAGCTAACTTTAAAGGTTAGCTCCCAGCCCCACAGTGTTTGCTGTAGCAAGTCAGAAAAAGGTTTACTGTTCGTCAAATAATACAATTAAATGTATTACATTATTAATAATAATAATAATAATAATAGCTTAGATTTATATAGCGCCTTTCATGGGACCCAAGGTCGCTTTACAAGGAAGAGCAGGGCAAAACAAACATAACAAAACAAAAGGCAATCAGACAACCAGTCAGACAGACAAAAACAACAAATAGATTAGGGGCCAAAGGCCTTGGTGAACAGATGGGTCTTGAGGGCCCTTTTGAAGGCGTCAAGCATGGGGATGTTGCGGATCTCCGCAGGGAGAGCGTTCCAGAGGGTGGGGGCTGCCCCGCTGAAGGCTCTGTCCCCGAAGGTTTGCAGTTTGGTGCGGGGGGTGGAAAGCAGGCCAGAGTCTGAAGACCGCAGGTTCCGGGGTGGGGCATGTGGGTGAAGGATGTCTGATTGGTACTGGGGGGCATGGGCATGGAGGGACTTGTAGGTAAGGAGGAGGATTTTGAATGATATGCGGGACTTGACCGGCAACAAGTGGAGGTGGATGAGGGTGGGAGTGATGTGCTGCCATGGCTTTGTATTTGTGAGTACCCTAGCAGCACAGTTTTGAACAGACTGGAGCCTGTCCGGGGTTTTGTTGGGAACCCCAAACAGGAGATCATTGCAGTAGTCCAAACGGGAGGTGACAAACGCATGGACTAGGGTTTTGGCAACCGACTCCGAGAGTGACGGTCGGAGTCTTGCAATGTTCCTTAGATGGAAAAAGGCCGATTTGGTCACAGACATGACGTGGGAGTGGAAGGAGAGGGTGGAGTCGAGGATGACACCCAGGTTGCGGGCTTCAGGAGATGGGGAGATGGAGCAGCCGTTGACCTCGAGGATGAAGTCACCAACCTTCTGGAGCAGCGCCTTGGGTGCCACAACCATGAGCTCTGTTTTCCTGCTGTTTAGTTTGAGATAGTTGCATGACATCCATGCTTTGTTGTCATGCAGGCAGTTGATGAGAGACTGCGGGGGGAGCTGGGAGGATGGAGTGGTGCTGAGATACAGTTGGGTATCATCAGCGTAACAGTGGAAATTGAGTCCATGATGTCGGAGGATCTGGCCGAGGGGGAGCATGTAAATGGTGAACAGGAGGGGGCCAAGCACAGAGCCCTGGGGTACACCGTGGTGGACTGGGGCCGGGGGTGAATTAGAGCCATTGATGGAGACAAACTGTTTCCTGTTGTGGAGGTAGGATGTGAACCAAGACAGCGCTGTGCCAGTGATACCTAGGAGGTCTGAGAGGCGGGTGAGGAGGATGTTGTGAGAGATGGTGTCAAACGCTGCAGAGAGGTCCAGGAGGATGAGGATGCTGAGATGGCCAGAGTCAGCAGCAATGAGGAGATCGTTGGTGATCTTGATGAGGGCGGTCTCAGTGCTGTGTTGCTGTCTGAAGCCGGATTGGAAGGGCTCATAGAGCTCATGGTTGGACATGTATAGATGGAGTTGGCCGGCGACCACTCTTTCCAGAGTTTTGTTTTGGAAAGGAAGGTTGGAGATCGGCCGGTGGTTCTGGAGGTCGGTTTTTTGAGTATTTGGGTGACTGAAGCCATTTTGAAGCTGGTGGGGCCTATACCAGGAGCCAGAGAAGCGTTGATGATGACCACCATGTAGGGACAGAGGGTGGGTAGGCAGTCCTTGACCAGGGCTGTGGGCATGGGGTCCAGGGAGCAGGTGGAGGTCTTGGCCGAACTGACCAGTTTGGCCACTTGGAGAGCATCCACAAGGGAGAAGGAGGAGAGGTTGGATTGGGAGAGGCGCGGCGCTGGGGGTGCGTTACCAGGTGGCTGAGGTGCAGGTAGGGGGGGAGGGCCAGGCGCCAGGAGCTGCTGATGGATGGCCTCGACTTTCGCCTGGAAGAAGTCGAGGAATTTGGAGCACAGATCGGGAGCCCCTGAGGGCTGGGGGGCGGCAGGGGGGCGGAGTAGGCGGTTGATACATTGTTTTTCTTTAACTTTTTTATTGATAATTATCCATAGTACATCCTCACTAACAGCTTCAATATTGCCTTCTAAAACAATCCATTCCTTTAGCCCTTCAAAAACCACAAGAAATGTCACATTGTATTCAGACATAAATGTTGACATTGTAAGAAAATACATTTTCTTTCAGACTTCATTAAATTAATCAGGAATGTTTCTGAGAGAGACAAAAACAACTACACCAGATAAAAGGCAAGTTTGTGATGCTTAATTTAACATAGAATGAAGCTCAATTCTGGCGATTGTGTGAATTTCACTTTTTGCTCCTGAGTAACAGCCCGATTGAAAATGAAATGCAGCAGCAGAATGCTAAGTCACCTAAAAAGGTATATATTGATACAGTTGTGTTGGTATTAAACTCTCTCTACTTGGTATAGTAGTAGTTCAGACCTTTAACATCCAAACAGGTCAATTTCTAGAGTTTCTGTTTCATTTCAGACACTATATTTTTCCATTTCCCCTTATTAAATCAGTCAGTTTGCTTTAGGGCAGCTGTGGTCGAATGGAAACTGAGTTTAGAGTTATGAAATGTCTGACATTAGACAAAGTCAGGTCAGTGGTATGAAATGAGAGCAGGCGAGGGGGGAAGGGAGAACTACAGCTGAGCCTCTATAGCAAAATGATCAGATCAGGAGACAGACGTAGGTCACCTCACCTTCACCGGCCCAAAGCCACTGAGCTGCACACATTATGCAACAGACATACTTTATTAATCCTATTAGTATATTAATGATGCAGGAGCTACAAATCAACACATGTGGACCGGCCACAGCTGAGGAAGCGAACAGATGGCTGAGGAGAGCAAAGAGGGATAGGGAGTGACAGGAAACAACCAAATTGATTTGTTTTGTCAGAGAGATCTTGCTAGATTAGGCTTAATTTACCTAGTCTGATGAAAGTGACATATTAGGGCTTGATTTGCTTTTAAAGGGTCCCTACATCAAACAAGGGCAGAAAGAGTATGAACAGTTTAAAACTACCCCTGTTATCAGACTCTGTGGCGCAACGGTAGCGCGTCTGACTCCAGATCAGAAGGTTGCGTGTTCAAATCACGTCAGGGTCAGTGTATTTCTTGAATTTCCCTACGGGGGTCATTAAAGGTCTAATGTATCTTATTACCAAGCTAGCTACCACCGCTAAGCCTGAAAAGCGTAGCCAATGTGTTAGTTCCTCGAGCCTGCATACTTCTAATGGCCACGGAAAGACTGCACCGGTTAAGAAAAGAGGTGAATTGTTGAAATGTTTGTGTTTAAACTGTTCTATGAGAAAATAAAAAACAAAGTGTGCCTGTGTGTCCACTTTTGTGGCTAGCCTGACCGTGTCAGGACATCAGCAGTAAGTACCAAACATATGATTGTGTTTTTTACTCAGATGTAGTTGATGAGGCTCATAGGAAAATAATGTTTATTACATTTATCAATCCCCTTCAAATACAAATGTGGTTATCACAGGAAATATATTTTATTTTGGATGCTGTACTGCAATAAGAACAGTCCAGCTACTGAGGGTGAGATATCGTGACTATCAGTCGTAGTATGTATGTTGTTTAGTATGGGGCAAAATCCTAACACAGCATCCTACATTTCCAGTAATGCAACAGGGAATCTATCATTAGAGTCCCCCCTAAACATGCTTCTTCAAAAAGCCATCCATCATACCCAAAGTCGTATTTATTTTATAACATTTTGAAATGCTCCCATTAGGTAGTGCATCATTTTTTAGGTTTAGTACTAAACTAAGACATTAATTAAAACTTCACCAACTTTATAGAAGAAAAGGTTTGAAATGAGTGAAATGCCCTTTTTTAAGCTGTCAACTTCTGGTAGCTTGTTTTTTGAGGACTTAAATCCTGTATCCAGTCAATTTGGCACATCTCTGCACAGAATCCAGTTTAAAATATAATATAAACACTGCGGTTTGTCATATATTCATTGTACTACGTTTTTTGTTTCTTTTGTATATTTACATTTGGTGTAAAAACTTGTCTTTTTAATGCTAAATAGTTAAAGTTGTTCCTTGTATGTGCAATAAACTGGATTCTGATCGGAATATTATGCTATGCTCAACCCCCCAACTTTAGCAATTGAACCATTACATTATGATGACAAAGTGACCCATCCACAACAGCACAGGTATTGCTTTATATTTTATTTTATGTACAGTACATGTAAAAAAGAAAACAAAAGAAAAGTAGCCAATAACATTGACCAACGTGGGCAACAGTAGACAGCCATGTTGCTCATCCTGCCGGCCTCTCTCAGGCAAACATACGCTGAGACTCTCCCACTCGTCTTGTGTAAGGCTGCCTGGAAACTAGCCGGGACTTGACAGCACAGTCAAACCGCAGATTATCAAAAATGGGAGGAGTGCATTACATGCTCCCCTAATAAACACACGTCTCTCTTTGACAAAGGATGAGCTGCTTTCAGCCTCCATGTGAGCGGAGTGTTCCAGACGGGCATGAGGGAGACGTCTGGTTGGCCGAGCGTGACTGTGTGCCTTCGCTCTGTGTTTTTTTTTTTTTAATACAGACCGGGCTTTGCTTGACAGCCTCTTGCCTTCACTGCCTCCCCTCCCCCTATTCCAACAGTGCTGCTTTCAACACAAAGGTCACTAAAGGTCAGCGTTGCAGTCTGCTCTTCTGCCAATGACTCTGAGTAGTAGGGAGCTCCTCTTCAGCAGTTGAATTCACAGTATTCTTACAGCATGTTTTTCCTTCTTCTCCCACTCATAAAGCTTTAACTGATAATGCATAGGGGGCTTTGACACATGTGTTCACCCATGTTTCTCCAGTGGAAATGTTGTTGTAGTGTGTGTGTGAGCTGAGAGAGAAAATGCACCCAAAGTCGAGAATACAGTGTACACAACCATCCGTGTCTGGTGTCCCATACATCGTACAATAAAATAAAACAAAGAAAGGTTTTTTTGTATCTCCAAGGCCATGGATAGTCAACCACAAGGCTTCTGAACTCGCCTGCTGCCTATCAGGGCTGTATCTCGCAAATAGTGTCTCAGACAGTGAGCTCACAGCAGGCCACCAAGGTACAGATAAAGTGCTTTTTTTCTTAAACGTGACGCTTTAAATAAAGTGATGTAAAAATGTATCTCAGGAAAATAAAGAGTTGAAAGGGGAAGGGTAGGGGGGGTTTGTTGACATGACAGTCCTCAAGTTAAAAATGAAATGGAAGAGAGACAAATCATGTTTCTGGAAAGGAATAGAGTTCATTATAAATACATCCACCAATCCAACTAACGGTGCGGAAGGATGGAACACGGATCGCCAGGAGAGCGGGAACAGTCACTACTTCGCTGTTCACATTGACAGAACGAAGAGGATTCGTGGTAAGACTTTTTAGAGACGTGGTCAAACAGTTCATGTCCAAGTAAAGAGGGGGGGGGGTTCCTTTGAAGACGAGTTAAACCTCTCCGTGAACCCATTGAGGACCGCGGTAATGACAGCAGCAGACTTGGAGGAGAGATTGTAGTAGACTCATAAAAAACCATTACAGATAATAAATACATTTGGGTCCTTGTAGTGTCGGCTCTATTTGAAATATGATGAAATCTAGAAAAAAAGAAAAAGGAGGAATAGTTGAGCATGAGATACCTGGCCTTTTTTTTTTTGCTCCCTTATCCAGTCTCAGCAACAATCCACCTTGGCGGCCATTTTTTCCACCAGCCTTGTGAAACGGTATATAAATTGTAGCCGTGGCAACCGCACGTACTCCCTCCTGGGTCTTGATGACACAGTTTGAGAATTCAGGAAAACCTCGGAGATCTCTCTTCAGTCCTCAGCCTCTACACAGGAGAGAGAAGACAGAGCACAGAGTAAAGACAATGAGCAAACAGACCGGTCTTTTATTAAGAGCAGGGATTGAGCAGCAGCAGGACCATGTCATGTTAGTCTACTGAAGGTTACGGAAGGGAACGTCAGCTATTTTAAAGTGAGCTGAAATCTCTGTGTAGCTGACAGAGCGAGCAAACGCTTCCTTTATGAGCTCTGGAAAAAGTACCAAATAAAGGCTTACAATCTACCAGCAGGTCTGAGTCAACAGCAGGTCTGGGAGCAGCCTGTCTGTCTCTCATATCAATCAGAAGACAATATTTAACCTTTGAGTGTGTGTTGCTGCAGGAGAAATGCACGCAGAAACCAGGGGAACAACTCTGCATCGCTATAGTGACAACAACAGCTATTTGTATGCATATGCAGTCAGTTGTGGAAAAAGCATTCCGATTCTTTATTTGAGTAAAAGTACTAATACCCCACTGAGAAATTCCTCAATTTCAAGTAAAAGTACTGCATTAAGTACGATTAGGAGAATGCACTTGAAGTATTAGGAGTAAAAGTACTTATTGCAGAAAAATCTCAATATAAAACTAATTATATTTGAAAGTAAAAGCAGCAGAACTTCACATTTAAGAAGCTGGGACTGTGAAATATATTTGAACAGAAGACTTTGCTGCCAATGAATTCTCTGTTAACCCACTCATGGTTTTAGTTACATAAACAAAAATAAATATTGGATGGTTTCATCTAACCAAATAATCACACTTTAAACATTTTCCCTAAGTGTTGTCTGTCAACATCTGAATTTTCAAAGTGAATACAATATGTAAAATAAATGTAGTGGAGTAAAAAGTACAACATTTGCTTCCAATATGTAGTTGAGTAGAAGTATAAAGTAGTATAAAATGAAAATACTTGGGTTAAATACAAGTACCTTAAATGTGTACTTCAGTACAGAACTTGAGTAAATGCACTTCCACCACTGGATGCAGTGATACTTTGACTGACTTCCATTGGGACAGTCTATTTGTTGGCTCTTAGGCTCTTTCTGTTGCCAGTGAGCAGCTCAGCCTGTGCCTGCATTTAAGCTGCTATTAATGCTTTGCTCCTTTCCTCACAGCAACTCCTTCATGGCATTAATACGGCTGGTGCCCTGAGGCTGGAACGGCACAGCTCAATATTTGTTCAATAGCAGGTTGGTGCAGAATCATGTTCACTTAGCTCACACTCCCATGAACATGAACAAATTAGCTGCTTTGAAAGACATTTAAGGAAAGGGCTTGGCAATGGGACCTGAAAACATATTCATCATTTACAGTTATAATACCTTTAGAAGAGTTTAGGGCAACAACAAAAAACTAAAGTGAAATACATTTTTTAAATACAAGGCGACTTTAAAGTAAGAATTTGGATTTTGTTCTCAAAATCCTGACTTAAATACCTTTCTCACAGGTGGCCCTGACACCCGTCCGGATTATGAATCTTTGCGCCTCCTGCAGTGAGGAATATGTTCACTCTGTGTGATAACCCTTTAATGGGAACGCGTTACTGTAATAATATTACTTTTGTCGGTAACGGAGTAGTGTAACGCGCTACTTTTATAATTCAGTAATTACACTACAGTTACTAACATTGCCCCGACACGCGTTACTTCGTTACTTACTAAAAATCAGTCATAATCACACTGACAGACAAGAGGGGTTTCCGCCGCAGGTTTATATGTACGTAATCTGCGCGTCCACATCTCCACGTGCAGTCAGTGCTGCATAAACATGGCTGAGTCAGCGATAACTCTCGAGGGGTGGAGGTATGCCCATTATTTTGAGTTTGTCCGAAGAATAGACAGGAATGTGACGGTGAGGTGCAAACTGTGTCCAGGCCAGAAGCTGTTATCCACTGCTGGAAACACCACGTCAAACCTCAACAAGCACCTGCAAAGAACACATGCTAAGGTGAAGCTAACGCACAAGCTATTTGTTGTTTGTTTATATCACGTAGTCTGTTCTTCTTCTCTGTCTTCCGGTTGTTGCCTGCCTGCTGGTAAGGAGAGTTATTGCCACTCACGCATGTGCAGTTCGTACGTGCTCGGCGAGTAAAGTAACGAGTTACTTTATGTAGAGAGTAACGAAGTAGTGTAATATATTACTTTTTTTAAAAGTAATATGTAATATATATTTTTTTTTTAGTAACGACCGCATCTCTGGCTCTACTATGCAAAAATTTAGAGGATATCTCAGCCACGGCGCAAGGATTTCAATTGTGGGTGGGCCAATGTTATTTAGGCTGGGCCTGATCAAATGTTTCTCGTTAACAAAAAGAAAAGAAAAATAAATGCCTGCATATCATTGTAGGCAACTGTGTAATGCATATTTCCTATAGGCTAGGAAAGACACTTTTTCTAAACCCTTCTCTCTTAAACATGTTCCCGTATACGAAGCTTAAAATGTTATAGCCTACTATCCCTAACCCTACTAACCCTAACCCTGTTATTTTGTTTTGTTTCACAATACATTACATTTAGAAACAAAGAGCATACAACGGCAGAATATGGAACAATGAGCGAACACCTGATGTGTGTCTGTGTGGTTAGACCGCAGCCTGCTGTCCTTTTTAGCGGATCTAGCGAAGTGAGCGGCCGTGCGTAAATGGCACTGGTTCTCTGACGCGGCACTTTTGAGAGGCTGCAGATTTTTAGGCTACTTCCTTCTGATGCTGCAGAGCTTTCATGAGCTGAAGGTACGTTTCATACTAAAGCGGCTGGGCAGCAGATACTGTTGCTTCACACGCAGAAGCGTTGCTGATTTGGGCTGGAGAATGCCTGCCACGTCAGGGTGCGCTCCGGTAGTTGCAAATGGCACGACATTTTAGCTCTACGTTTCTTAATCATTTCTCTAGATATTTAGTCTCAATATGAAATGTTTGTGCAGCAGGTATAACATTAGAAAACTGCAGTCTGGTAAAACGAGGGAGAAAAAACTATAATTGTCATCTTTCACCTGTGTGTGCTCACACAACTGGTAACTATAATATATTAATACAACTTTGACGATTAAATAGGAGAACGTCTTTTCAGTTTTACGAAAACAAATGTTATGGCTGTGCAAACGTTTAGTTTAACATTTATAACATTTCTGAACAAAGACATCAACAGTAAACAGCTAATGTAGCAAGGGATACAATAGAAAAACATTGATTACTAACACATGTCTCCAGTCACGAGCAGAGGATGTTAGAGGGGAAGGGGCTTAACTGCATAAAAGGGCACTTCGGCCATTTTTGTTAATAATCTAATAAAAATAGGCTATGCTTAGAATGACATTCGTGTTTACTGAGAGCATAGTCGATGCGTTTCCAGTCCCTGTAACCATGGCCTCTCTCACTAAAATGCCGGCACATTTTACAAAACACACTGTCCTTGCTAATGCTATACTCCAAGAATGTGTACTTGTCATACCAGTGGGCAGCGAAGCTTCTTTTCTTTTGTCCTAAAAGTGTCTGAGGGTACTTTATGAGCTTTGGCTGTGTAGCCGCCGGGTCATCTATGGCTGGTAGGTCCGGCACTGGGATGCTATTTTCTGTTATCCTGCAACGGGTGCTACGTCCCGCAGAGGGACTGAGCTCAGTGGGGGCACAACATTAAAACACACTGTTGTCTCTCTGAGGCGGCACCTGCTGTGAGCATGATGAGTGTGGTGGTTCCGGCGGCGGCGACTCTGTTCTTACTCTTTAAAAAAAACCTGAACATCGATTGTTGTGACATCGTTAGTGAGCGCGGTATATTTGTAGTGTCTGCCCAGTCCACTGTCCTCCTTCGTCTGCGCGCGGCCGCGAGAAGTTCTACGATGTGTTTGCTCCCGCGCTTCGACTATGAGTTCGGCCTGATTTGCTCTTATTTTATTATTTAATTGTTCATTTTGATCAAGAAATGTTGGAAACTATATTTTCGCCAAGTCATTTTTGATCAATGAATGGGTGGGCCCAGTGCCAGAGTGGGTGGGCCTAGGCCCACCTATAACGCTGCAGCTGGGATATGTAACCCTGGCACTGGAGCTGGCAAAATACAGATTCACTAACATTAACTCTTCTTTCCTGTCTCTGCCTAATCTTATTAGCAAATAGCAGTGTATAAACAGTTAGGTAGCAGCTTCTCATTTTAAGTCCACCTGATCGTCACCTTCACCGGTCAGAATGTTAACGCTGGTAGCTGCTAGTCACATGAGCTGTCGCCTATAAATGTTAATTAAGTGAGTAACTTCATAACAGGCCAGAATGAAACCAGTCTGTAGTCTGGTTAGAGAGCTCTCTGCAAACTGCTGTGTACTCAACCAAATATCCTGAAGATTTATGAGGAAAAGATTTTTGTAGTGTGATTTTATTCAAGACATCTGAGAGCAGAGCATCCCATCATTTTTCAGTCCTAGTGGAACTTTCATTAATAATAGAAGCTGAACAACTTCATTATCATCTGCTGCCGTTTCTACTTTGTAAACTGGTCTTATTTAGCAGTTATTTTTTGGAATGAGAGCTACTGTCTTTTAGCCTGAACTGAATCTATCAAGATCTATCAAGTTCCTTTCCCAGTTAAATAGCCAAATGCTTACATTGAATGCAAAAGAGATACAATAAGCATGTTGATACTGGTTTCAGCTTGGTTAATATGTTGTCAAATCTCAACCCCAACTGCAAAACCTAAAAAGAACTGGCATGTTGTCCTTTATTAGGTTTAAAGTACAGCTTAGGTTTCATAACTATTTAGTTATGTTTTTGTAAAGTCAGTTGAATCTTATACAAACTGTATGTTTAATGATTAAAAAGGAGATGAACTTCTTTATAAACTTAGCTGCCAGTAACCATCAAATAAAGTATAGATCACAGCAAATGCCTGTGTAATAAACTGCCAAGTCTTTTATCCTTTGCTGTTCACTTTCTATTGAATGTTTTTCAAGAGACTAAAATACATGAGCTTTTTTTTGGTTTTTGTTGTGTTCACTGAAAACCGTGCGAACGACTGAAATAGCAACTACTTAATGTTAAGATAGTTTTCTCTGGGAACTCTTAGTTAACCACATAATGGTTTCTTAATACTGTCTTGAGTATATGTACTGTACACCATTGCAGGTGAGAGATCAATAATGTTGGTTTTGGTCAAATGATATTCATAACCCAGCTATATCTTGGATATCACATTCATCTAAAGAAGATGCAATACAACCACAGGTGAAGTGTGGACTGACCTACGTGTCACTGTGGGACAGCAGCGATGTGATCTCGGGGCTCATGTGGCCCACCGCCTTGGCTGCCTCCTGGATTGCTCTTCGGTACATCCCTTTCTTCTTGCGGTTTGAAGCGGGACCTGAAGAGTTCCCTGAAGGGCGACAGTTTGGCAACGGAGAGTTGGGAGGTGGTGGGTGAACCGAACCACGCTACCTTGGCCTGGGGCCACTGGGCCTCGCAGCTGGCCGTCTCCTGTTTGCGGGTGCCACTGATGCTGAGGACGCGTGCGGGCCACCAGGGGAAGCCGTGAATCTTCCCCCACACGATGTCACCCACAGCAACGGCGTGACCCTCTTCGGTTACGCACTTTGTCATGCTGCGGGTGTGAAGCCGCACAGTAAGCGGTGGCACTGTCTTGCAGTCCTCCCGTAATGGGACGGAAGACGAGGTGACGGACAGGTCTTCCCCCGGGGCCAGGTCGCAGAGTTCTGGTGAGGTGCCGTCGGAGCTGAAGGACTTGGACTCGTCTAGACTGTCGCTGCTGCACACTGACAGGCTAGAAGAATCCGCTTTACGCTTACGGAAATTAATAAGAAGGGTAAGGTCGCTGTGGCCGCGCTCCACCTCCTCTCCCGAACTCCCAGACCACAACTCCAGAGAGTTTTTACCTTCCCCCGAGTCGTCAGAGTGGGGGAGGCATGGCCCGGGCACCCTGGGGCTTCGTCTCCTGGTGCCTCCTACAAGTTCTGCCTCATACTCCACCACACTGTCCTCACCATCCCTCTGAGGGGGTCTCAAGTGGATCTTTGGAGAAGGCAAGTCCTGACCCACAGTTGTATAGGGCCTGGTAAGTTTGAGTTTGGGAATGGACACGGTCAGGCCAGACCTTGTGGCATCTAAAATGTGCCGTTGCTCCTTTGTGGGATCAGAAGGCATCTTGCCGTTTTCTCCCAGGCCATTCAGCGCCAGTTGTTTTGGGCAGAAAGGCTTGACTGACCCGTGGACTCTCGCGGGGATCTTCATGACCTCCCCCTTGCCCTGTGGAGTGCTGTAGGAGATCTTTATGACAGGACTGTGGGGGATAACGTCACCTCCGGGGAACTTCTCCCCTTCAGGCTCCCCCCTTTTGTCCTTCCTGAGACGCTTGCTGTCAAGGCTGGGGCCATTTTCACGTCTCTTAGTGTCCTTGGCTGCAACAACATCCTCTTTTCTCAACAGCTTAGAAGGGGTGTCCTTGTCTTCACCGTCATCATCGCTCTGTATTGCATTCTCTTTTCTAGAAGTCTTAGTGTTGCTCATGCCATCTTTGCTGTCCTCGTCACTGTTCAGTGTGTTCTTGCACTTTTCACACAGTACCTGCCGTGGCCGTAGACGGATAGTACTCATGGTCATGCGGCCAGGCTCTCTCGTTCGCCTTTTCTTTCTCTTGATTGGCCGTGGAGGGGGCTGAGGTACCCATTGGCTGTAGCTGTGGCGCACCCATAAGGGCTGAGGGAAGGGGGCTCCTTCAAAATAAGGAGGGTAAGGAGTCTGTCCAGCAAGCACTGGTGTGGGTACAGGGCAGGGAAGAGGTGCAGAAGGTAAGCTGCTTTCTGGGAGACTATTTTCATCCTTTGGTCTGTGTGAAGCCTGGCTGGGAGATTTGGAAACCGGCTCCTCACTCAGAACTTCTGGGACTTCACACGCCGGTGTAGATATCGGGAAGTGCCTGGTATTTGCTTTGAAATCTGGTAGACAGAATAGCCCAGTCCTGAAATGAAGAAGAAAAAAAAACAAGAATCAATGAATAACTGTGTGTTTCATTGAGCTTCATTAAAGTGCTGCAGTGAATTGCATGCAACAAAAACATTCCTACATTTTAGTTAAACAATTTTCTCCACAAGAATGATCCCGTTATGTCGTGCTTCTATTTGACCATGTTGGATCATTCGAGGCCAATAGGACGGGGGAAATCAAATACCTTGCTGTTTCAATTAGCAAAAAATAGAAAAGCATCCAATGCTGATCAACGCGTTCCCTACCATAATAAAAAACACTCTTTACGTTGACTTTACACGGGCTTCCCTCTTCCTGTCACCTGTATGCTGAAAATTCTTTACGTGTGGGGGTTGGGGTCCGCAAGCAGCCAGGCAGTTATCTGTCCTGCTGCCCTAGGCCTCAAATATGGCGCAATAGTATCATTGACTCTTTGAAGGATTTTATGTGTTTTCTTTCATGCTCTAGGACCAGCAAACCTATCCAAAGTAGGCCTATGCCAAGGAGCCTTTGAGAGGTGGCTGGCAGGCAACAGTAACATGGCTGTGCTGCTTTAGTCAGGAGACAGCAGACAAAGAGACTACAGGATGCCCAGGAACCCCCCTCCCCAACATCTGACTGAACAAAAACAATCCCATGAATCACTCGGGATTCAGAGATGTAGGGAAGGAGCCAGGAGATTTCGGTTTGTTTTTACATCCGTGTCTATTTGGGGCTTGTGTGTGGTGAGATTATTAATTAGTGCACATTTGGGAAGCCTGTTTCCCTCCCCAGGAGGAGTAGCTGGCAGGCACCTCCGAAATAATAGTCCCTTGGTGCGGCTTGTTCCTCTCACCTTTTTATATGCGCACCTAAAGCAGCTGAATATTAGCCTTCACAGTGATTGACACGGCACAAACAGGGCTGCCTGTGACAGCGAACAGGCAGTGCTAGTTAGGCACAGCACAAGGACGCAGCATATGAGCAGCCAGCCATGATTCACTGCGATGTGGCCATTTCACATTGTGTACAGTGTAACTAGATACAAAGATCTGCCTGAATGATAGGCCTAGAGACGATGATATATAGAAACCTGTGGAAGACAATGACAGGAAATGTATTTCCATGAGCTGAAAAGGAAGAAGAAGTCAAATGTTGTCAGTGACAAGGCCTAAAATATGGGCCTATTTTAAGTTATTCCAAGGCCTCCCTTTTCCCTTTTGGGTGGGTTATTTTCAGTACAGCTTGAGCTCTCACATGAAAAACCATCTAAGCATACTAAGGGGCAAAGCTGTTCAGATTCTGAATCTGCTCATCTATAAATAGTCTAAAGCCAGTGGCTTTTAAGGTGCACAGTACCAGGAGCCACACAAGGCTTATACCATGTGACACACGCCAAGAGAAGTAGATAAGACATGACACATGTCAGATTGTACTTATTAAGGTTTCTCATTCAGACAGTATTGTGTGTTATGTCTAACTGGCAGGAGTGGGCCTTTTCTTGTGTAGCAGACCCTTAAAATGGTCCCTGGATCTTTTCAGAACTAGGTGTAAAGGAACAGTATTACAGATGAAATTCCTTTATATCCCACATGTCTCTTTATGGACATTTGTTTCTGCAGATCAAAAGTGACTGGTTATGAAGAGCCATTTCTCAAACTTGCAACTATATTTCAGATGATTTAAATCACTCCAGAAAATGTGTACACAATGCAGTGCCCTGCAGGTAACGTATACACATATAAACAACACTAATCTACAGAATATTGTTCAGCGAAGGCCTGCCCTATTACTGGATACGTGTTTAGCTGCTCTGTATTTGATGAAGGCTAACAATAAGCTATAGATAAACCCACTGATATTAGCCAATGTTTAAGATAATGTATTAACAATGTCTGAGGATAGTTGCACTGCTATCTTAACAAACAATATGTCACCGTAATAACATAACGGATCTGACCATGTATTAATGAGCTAAGATGAAATCAGTTCGCCATTAGCCGAGCAGCTAGCAGATAGCTACCCTGTCAGCTACAATAACCTACGAGTCTTTTGTATGGAGGCCCAGTTAGCTATGAGCTAACTAGCTATCCGTTAGCATCAAAGGTAGGTTAGCCGTTACCTGAGTTTAGCAAATTAAAGATAAATGTACAAAGAGAACACTCGAAATGACACTCACTTTTTGTTGCAATCAAGTAATATCCCCGTATAGTTCCTCTCTCGGTAGGTCAGCGTCACCACCAGTGTATCGTTAACTATTTGATCGATAGTGACAGGTACCCGAGAGCCGGCCCGCAGCTCCTCGGCCACAGCCTCCATGTTTCCCGGCGTTTCGTGTCCGGCTCTGCGGTGCTCGATCGCCGCCAAGGGAGCCACGGTCGCGTCGGCTAAAGATCCGTCTCCCCTTCGCTATAGGAGCAGGAGGCTACACCAGGGCATAAAATGACGCCATCACCCTCACCAAGTCAATTACAACAGCACTGCCACCGCTGACATCACGCTCCCTGTGCTGGAGGAGCAGAAATCTCTCAAGACAAGGCCTCCCCTCTCTGTCTCACTTTGACTTGTTTTAGGCTATTCATCCAGTACGGACTTTAACTCGGATATGCCATTGTTTTTCATAGCGAGAGGCTATGGCATTTAGCACCCATTGTATATTAAAAGTATAATGATAAACACGATAAAGTGTGGATGCATTTTCTAATATTTTGTAAGCGAAATTGGACAAATGTGACCTCTAAATATTCACAATATATACAGCATCCAAATTAAACCACAGTTAGTTATACTTTCTCTGTTATCGTCTCAAATAGTCTTTAACATCATCATTTTATTTTGTACACTACTTGAAATGAACCCTATTGCTATTTCGACTATTTTAACCTACAAAGTTGTGTTGTTCCTAATGTGAAAATAAGTGATGGTTGTTGATGTTACCATTTTTCTGTTGATACCCTTTATATTCCAAGGCTTTATTTAAATGTACATTGTATTTTAGGTCTCAGTTTTTGTTATGCTTATACTATTATATCTGCTGAATGTTGCATATAACAATGGATAACTTGATTGTACACAGTAAATATGTAAAATTGCCATAAAACCTTTTACATGTTTGTATTGAATGATAATAAGGTCAACATAAATTGCGAACATAACTAGTTTGTATGATGGAGAGGATGTTTTGCAAAAGAAAAGTTGAAAACACTCACTTGTTCAGTAACAATGCTGTGATCTTTATTTGTATGTTCTGAGCATTGCAATGATCATCAACAAAGGTCTTAGTCTTTACAATACATTTTGAGTATAAAAGTAATACCACAAAACCCATACAGGTATTACAATCCCTATTACTTGTCAATAAAACTCGGCAAGTTGTCCCCAGTGACGATAGTAAAATGTTTCTGAAGATCTATTCCCCAATTTTTCTTCCTCTGGAGAAGCTGAGCCTGTAGCTTCCTCATCTGTCATTCATAGTGGGGAAGAACACAACAAATTCAGATCAATATCCAATAATTCAAATATAGATGAGTTGTGTGAATAATGAAGTATAGGCCTGACCTCCTCCACATCCTTCTCTGCAACTGCCATCTGCTCGGAAACCGTGCCCCTGGGAATCCTGCGTCTCTCCTGCATCTTCTCAACACGGGCACAGATCTGCTGCTCCAGCTCACGGGCTGATCTAAAGGGTCATACAGGTCAAAAATCCATTTCAAAATACTGAATATTTAATTGCCTAAGCATTGCCAGTGTTATTATAGCCTTTAGGTAGACATCTGATTAAAAATGAAAGCTGTTGAGTGACTTGTTGTCCCCTTAGTTAAGATCTATTCCATCAATGGAAACAGAAAATGTGTATTATCTATTCTGGTTGATCTGTTTTTTAGGAATAATGTTTCAAAAGAAGAACAAAAGAAACTGCTGATGGTGTGGTGGGAGTAAACTCTTTCTCTGTCCACTAGATGTCTCTAGCCTTCCATCTGCATGGCTCACCATTGAAGACAATACAAAATGCCATTTGGTGTATACTTTTAGATCCTGTATCCCTATTTAAGTTGTGTGAAGAAATCACAGATACAATATGCACAGCAGTGTTCTAATCAGGTATATTGATGACACGAACGTATTGTGCCTCATTTCCCTTATTAAATCTGTAACCACAAAGGAGGTAAAGGAGATACATGGTAGGATTGAAGTGTTAGGGAGAGATTTTTACATTTTGAGATGCTTAATACCAAACAAGATTTCAAGTTATAATCAGGAAGATGTTCCCAGTCTTTTGTATGTTCAAATTCAACGCTACTAGTAGTAATGATAGGACAAAATAGGAATAATTAAACATATGCAAGTCTGATTATAATTGTTATACAGGCCCTGGTTTCATATTGTTGTACACCAGATGTTTTGTCTGGAGTAGACAGTATTTTGGTATGTTGGTTACCCTTTTTCCACCAAAAAGAAGCAAGGCTTTTTTTATATGGGAAAACCCACTTGAAAATAGGTGACATATTTATTTCCTATTGTCAGTAGACAACATTTATTTTTGTTTATATCTGGTTTGGTAAATTTGATGATGTAGAGTCCTGGCACCAGAAGCAAGGTTAATAAACAGTGAAAATGTTAGGGTGGCCACTTTTTTTTATATCCGTTACTTATTGAGTGAAGGAGCTGGAGTTGACAAATACCCTTCACTACTGCAGAGGTATTTGTCTGAAAATGAAAGCCCATTGTAACCTTTCCAACTAAAGACAAAAGCCAGATGTTAGCGGGGGTTAGGGGGATTCATTTCCAGTGGGAAATGTGATTCAGATTTTTCATTTACCTTGTCTCCTCAAACTGTGTGATGGACATTCCTGGTGTCTTACTATGACTAGAATCACTGCCATCCTCCACACTGGGCTTTGAATGTGTTACTGCTTCCTGTAACAGAGAGGGGATGTTTATTATCATGTAGGCTTACATCACTGTAAAGCTTGTGTACATAAAGAAAGATACAGCTGTTACGACACATCCTACAAACAGCCTCATTGCGTCAAATTACCCCAATGCATTGTCTTTTTCCTAGACTATCCAGTGAATATTTACACTGATGTTGCTAGTTGAATGCAAACATTAAACGCTACACTTCAGCTGTATGCGTGGAAATGCATCTGACAGTCAAATCACTCAAAACTGTCCATCTGCATGGTCTACATTTGGTGGCTGCCGGCATCAGCTTTGACAGCTATATGTTGCTGCTGTGCGATCACTGATGCAGCAAAACTCCCTCGCAAGCACTGCCATCTGTTGCTGCCTCCATGAGCACCATCCTCAATACATTCATAAAGGATCACTGATACTGACAATGCAGCTACCTGAAAACTCACTTAGCCTACTGGCATCATAATGTTTTACGAAATGCATTGTTCTCCATCCAATCTGGCAGAGGTGGTGCTCTTTCGCCCCCTGGTGGTTGGCAGGTGGACATTTATGTGATTTATTTCACACATACCTCATGGTTTCTTTGTTCGGCATGCTTCTTCTGTTCAGGCATTTTCTTCTTCTGTGTGGTCTTTGCTTCGGTGCGCCACTTGTTAAGAGCGTCATGGCTTCTATGGAAGAACCAAATAACGTATCATTGTATGTCAAGGAAAATGTTTCTTTGTGTATTGTTTTTAAGTGGTTCCAAAGGGGTCTACATTGTTTACATATGGATTCCCCACGGTTGCTCACTTGGGAAATGTCAATTAGATGCAATATAACCCTGCTTTATTATGAATTATCTTTGGTATTACCTAGCATGAATATTTGGATGAATGAATCAATGAAATACAATTTTACAATACAATTAAATACTCTAAAATCTAGTGCAGTAGAATGCTAAATGGGTATATCCTATTATTGAGCTCAAGGAATAATATTACTTTCTCCTCTGCTCGACAATAGCCTGTTTCTCGTTCAGCTCTTTCATTACAGCCGGTCTCCTTTCTTCTGGTCTCCTCCAATGCTGAGAGTCAAACAGTGGAAGCTCGGGAATTGATGCGGCCTTGGTGGCGGCCTTTTTTCTGACAAATCAATTGAAACAAAATGCTTTTATTTGTATTGCTCTCCAGAGCTCTGAGTCCCAGCGGAGACAGCCGGGGAGATTGTTATCACTTGGTCTACTCTGCGGAGAATGTCATTAAAAAGTGTTTTGCTATCCTTTTTCCAAGGCACCATGCCATCTATGACTCCAAGACTCAGCACTAAATCTATCTGCAAACAAAACATATTCACCTCCTCTGTCTGGGTATTAGATAGTAAATGACACTTTCAGACTTCATTGTTCAGGCAGAACATATCTGTTGTGCATAAACCCTTTTCTCATATTCAGATATACTAGGTGTATTGCAACACAATAATAGCAGGAGCAGTTAAATAAATCATTGTTTTGTTCCCTCATATTTCTGTGAATCTGGCCTACATACATCCCTTTTTTGGAATGAATAGTTTGACATTTTGGGAAATAAGTGTATTCACTTTCAGGCATGGATATAAGAGGAACAAAACAAATCCCTACGGTATCTGTATATTAACTTTGAAGCCATAGACATTGAGTAAGCTAAGCTTAGCATAACGCCTGGAAAGACCTAGCCTATCAATGTCCAAAAGTAACAAAATCCACCTACCAGCAGCCCTGACCCTGACTTATTTATATACTATATCTCATGTTGTTCTTTTACAGTGAGCTTTATGTGCGAGTGCCTAATGTTTCCAGCCTCAATGCTATGCTAAGCTAACCCTACCATCTCCTCTGCTGTAGCTTCTTATTCTATGTACGTATGTAGGGTGATACATTTCTTGACTAACCTTTCAAAAAAAACATTCAATAGAAGTGCATCCTGGATTAAATGTATTATCTCCAAGATTACAGTTTTGAACACGTTGTTACTGTCGTGAATTGAAACAAATGTACTTGGTTAGGTTTAGTAGAATATCATGCTTTGGGTCCAATGTTGTATGTATGTAACTTAAGCTTCATGTTTAAAGTAATTATGTAAAGGATGTGACTTAAGTTAAGTGTGTTAAGATGCATAAAACCCCTCAAATTTGTTGCATTAACTTAAACGATGTTCCCCAATGACCATTCGACGCGCAACCAATCAGAGGACAGCGGTATGTAGCGCTGCAAACTAGCAGGTGGGGTAATCAAAGAAACAAAACTGACTGTTTCCATGGCAAGGCTCTGTGCCCAACTTCTCGGTGAACAAAGAGAGAGCCAAGTATCATGTGAATGCAGCATTACATATCTAAACTTAAATGCCAAAGTAAAATAAGTGAATGTTACATGTTGGTTTCACACGGGACACAAACTGCAGCCACCTGGGTGAAATTCCAGTTTATTTTTACACCTTTCCATTAATTTGTATTATAATTTGTGATAATTAAGTAATTGTTAGCAGGCCAGACTGAATGAACATGTATCCCAAGGTTTCAAACTATAACAAAGGAAAAGCATTTCCCTTAAAAATATCTTTCAGCCAAATACCTTAACTCACCTTTTGACGATTGGAAGAAGTGGAGGCTTCTGGTTTCCATCGCCCTGAGCGGTTGAGCCCAGCTCAGCTTTGTCCAGCAGGATCATCTTTTGTTTTAATTCCCTGAACCTCTTCATCTCGTCCTCA